TGTTACCCATAAACTTTTAGTGGCATTAGTTGATGACAAAAAAAAACCAAGAATATAAGAATCACACTTTTACAAAGAATAACCAAAACACAGATAGAAACCCTTTACAAACACACTTCATGTAATGACACACATTAATTTACCTTCAAGATTGATACTTATGGACGTAATTATCGCCTAAACTACACTGGGAATTTCCCTTGGAAAATTAATTAATTAAATTTGTGCTATCCTAATAAACATTTTACACATAAATTCAAAAATTCAATTACAATTCTCGCTCCTAAGATATATACATGTAAGAACAAAATGTTGTACCAATGCACTACTCTAATTTACAATTTAAACTGTGTCTGAAACTTAGCGAAATAATAAATGACTCCTTAAGTAGAATGTTTTTAGGCAGGCAACTAGCGCATTCCATAACGTTTCTTACTATATACTGCTAATTTGTTGCACCCCACTTTTCCTATCTAGTTTTCCCTGCCGACGTGAACTGACCTATTTTCTGCGATTCCCTAAAACGTGTTACCCCACCCCGTCGTGGACTTCCTAAATTTGGCCTTGATGCTCGTGCGCTGGTCGCTTGCGTGGACCCCCCGGGGGCCCGTCGGTCGCGCTCCTGCGTCCGCTAAGAGAGAGGGATTCGCCTCTCCGTCTGCGTTGCTTTTCTTGCGATCCTCTTCCGTTCTTCCTCCCAACCGTTCCGTTCTGCACGTGCCACCTCGGATCCTCGGCCTCTTCTTCTTCCTCGTCTCTACCGGCGCTCTGACTACGCCCACGTATGCGCAACGTCCCTTGCACTTTACCGAATTACTCGTGCAAGTTCCTCGCTCGTTGCTACTTTTACTTTGACAAGGCTAGAATTTTAATGTTTCCTCACAACGGCAACTTTTACTTTCCGTGTTGTTGAATATGAAGAAACCACTACTTTAATCTGCACTATCTCCGCGACGAATAACTAGAATGTCTGTTTCGACGCCGAATACTCCTACATATGTAGTCGTTGCAGCGGCCAAACAAGTTCTAATGTTAACGAAACTGATGACTCGTCAGACGGTGATCAAGAGAGGAGTTGCTTACTCGACGCGTCGGTGGCAAGAAAAGAGAGCTTCCGCTTGCGGGTTCGCGTATTTATTGGCGCGGCGCCTGGGGAAATTCGTGATGGGGGGTTGCTTCCCCTCTCTCAACCCTTCAAAGAAAAACATAGCTCGCTAGTTCGCATTTCGTTATACGGGCACGGATACACCAGGCCGCGCGTTTAAGTACTCTGCCTCTACGCGTCTGTATCCTCGCTGGCTCCGTAGTGTTCACAACATGAGACGGTGTGTTATGGGGTTGCACAACCCAATATATATATATAATATATATGTATATAATAGTAATATAATTAATATATATATATATATATAATATGTAGTGACTAAGTTCGTCCCAGACGCCCACCCGTCGTAAGAACGCCTGTGGCAGAACGGGTGACCGAGCGTGGCGCGGTTCCAAAAGGGCGCGCCCGCCGCCAATGATACGGTTGCCCGCCGTGTCCGCAGGAAAATGAAGCGGAATCAGTCGGAGACGGGGAGACGCCACGCTATCCCTATATCGGAGGGCGCGTACATAAATACGCAAACCCGCGAGCGGTCACTCTCTTTCGTTACCGTTCACCAAGCCGGCATCACTCGCATTAGCTATTGTCCACCGCAGCAATTTCACTTGCTAGGTAGGAGTGTCGAACGTCGGACATACGCCTCGTTAGCCGTCCGCGAAAAGTTGTTTTTCTGGAAGAAAGTACTTCTTTGGACAAAGACGCGGGGAGTGAATCTACCCCTCATTAGGGAAATAGTACGTGTTGAGATCTAGTAAAGTGCAATCAGCGGCGAAATCTGTGACCGGGCGAGCGAGAGACCTGTACGAACGAAAAACGAAGTTCCAGTTCGATGCGAGAAACATTCGCACGTGGGCGTAATAAAAGGCGTGGATGACGCAGATGAGGAGGACGGAGCATAAGACCGGAAGAGGACACGAGAGGGCAGCAAGCAGTCACCGTCGACCGATCCCACGATTGGCAAAGCGCAGGACTGGGGGAGAACGGCGTCGACGCAGAGGCCAGCGCGCGTCAAGGTCAGACATCGGAGTCCAGAGGAAAAGAACGGAGGGAGGTGACGGTGCGTAAACGTCGCAATAATTAGGTCAAAGACACGTCGACCGGGGAGAAATTGTTAGAAGGAAAGTGTGTGGGAATTCAGGACATGGGAGGCAACTGAGTTTAATTCAAAATACTAGCCATTTTAAAGCACTATTGCCTACAAAAAATTGTAAATATGTCATATTCCTTTTGTTATTCGGAGACTCAGCAAAAATCGTGTAAAGATAGTGGTGCAGTTGCACACATTTTTACTTAGTTGCAAAGGGACTTCCCAGTGGTTATTAGTGTGATTCTTTTGATAATTCAATTTTAATTCATTGAAAGGATAAGAGTTTTTGTATTTCTTGTTTTTTGGTGTGATTTTTGAAAGAGACGAAGTGGGTTTTTGAGACCATAAAACCCAGTTTAACTGATTTACGTGTTCTTGTTCTTGGATTGTCTCTCAACACCCCAAAAGATCCCACTGTCTTGTGATATTATTAGCTCGCAAGAGCACATCTGCAAGGTCCCTCAAAAGGAGATTGCGTGGAAGTTATTACGTTAGAGGCTGTTTCGTCAGAAAATTATGTATCAAGCAACACAGGACGCAAAGTAACTTCTGCAAAGTTGAAGTGGAACAGGGGAAATAGGTTTTGTGATATAGCTATTTGTTTGACCCGTGCAGCATTGTTGTAAAAATACAATTATAAGATTTTTCACTGTGAGATTCATGTCATTCCCCGTTAATAATAAATAAATAAAATTGCGCTTTCTTTTACAACTTTTAAAGCTCTATTCAATGAAATTAATATCAATTTTTACCCTGATTGGCAGAAAATGTGACAGACAACTTGCAGCAGAGACACCAAAACAAGGTATTCACAAAAATTCCGGTTTGTAGCAGTTAATAACTTTCTTAATATTTAAAATAGATCAACTTTATTGTGTTTCAGAAAACGGAGAACGAAATATTGAATCTAAATCTTCCGAAAATTGTATTATCGTTCTGTAAACTGCACCGCATGGGATGAAACAAAATAATCTTTATCTCAAAAACAGTTTCACCCATGAAGATACAATTTCACAAAAGTTCATTTTCTACATGTGTAACACGTCAAACCTGCTCTTATCAAAAACCAATATTTTTGCACATGAAGCCCTTGTTCACCTGTCATGCAATTACCCAATAGTTAAATCGGTTAATAATGAATAAACAAATCATTATCAGGTTAACAAACCTAGCCAATCAAGATATCCGTAAACAATGAGTGGTCCATTGTACTGCACGGTATACCGTTCTCCAAAGCACTTTTTGTATAATGTAGTGTTAGTGTATTGACAAAACAGTACTACAGTGCAATGGAAAGCAAACTTCTCAGAACCAGCCTGCATAGCCGAGGTTACCAAAGCATTTCCGCCTCAGCAGCCTCGGCTCTGTCGTGGGTTGAAAACTGCTTCGGGCATGGATGTTTGTATGTGCTCGTGTTGTCCTTACGTGTCGTAGTTCTCCGCGAGTTACTCCAATATGCACAACCGCAGTAGTCGCTACATGACCTACTAGTTAAAAAGTGGCATTAAAAACATTTAAAGAAGTATAATATCTGCGGTTACCGATGCTAGCACAAACGTCAATGCGATGGTGACACGTTCAGATGTTTCAGATTGATTTCTTTGGAAAGTATTCCTCTTTTTCCTTTCGCAAATATTCCACTATTTTATAAAACGTTTTACAAGCAAATCGATTATGCAAACGTATAGCATAGGAAGGTACTTTTCCATGCGCCAACAAGAAAAACAAGCACGAATTATTCATCATGCGGTTACAAGGATTAAACACTGTTAATGTTCTCCTGTTTGATAAATGCAATGTTCGGAATAGCACTCACCGATGCAGTTGTGGGAGTCGGCGCTGAAGGGGATGTAGGCGTAGGGATGCAATGTTCAGAGGAGCACTCACGCGACTTGCGTTACGGGGCCGGCGCTGAAGGGGATGTAGGCGTAGGGATACAATGTTCGGAGAAGCACTCACCGATGCAGTCTGGGGGCCGGCGCTGAAGGGGATGTAGGCGTAGGGATACATGTTCAGAGGAGCACTCACCGATGCCAGTTCTGGGGCCGGCGCTGAAGGGTATGTAGGCGTAGGGATACAGATGTTCGGAAGAAGCATTCACCGATGCAGTTCTGGGGGCCGGCGCTGAAGGGGATGTAGGCGTAGGGGCGCAATGTTCGAAAGGAAGCACTCACCGATGCAGTTCCGGGGGCGGCGCTGAAGGGGATGTAGGCGTAGGGGTGCAATGTTAGAGAGGAGCACTCACCGATGCAATTGTCCGGGGCCGGCGCTGAAGGGAATGTAGGTGTAGGGGTGCAATGTTCAGAGGAGCACTCACCGATGCAGTTACGGGGGCCGGCGCTGAAGGGGATGTAGGCGTAAGGGGTGCAATGTTCAGAGGAGCACTCACCGATGCAGTTCCGGGGCCGGCGCTGAAGGGATGTAGGCGTAGGGGTGCAATGTTCAGAGGAGCACTCACCGATGCAGTTTCTGGGGCCGGCGCTGAAGGGATGTAGGCGTAGGGTGCAAATGTTCAGAGGAGCACTCACCGATGCAGTTCCGGGGCCGGCGCTGAAGGGAATGTAGGTGTAGGGGTGCAATGTTCAGAGGAGCACTCACGATGCAGTTCCGGGGCGGCGCTGAAGGGATGTAGGCGTAGGGATGTAAATGTTCAGAGGAAGCACTCACCGGTGCCAGTTCCGGAGCTCAGCGCGGAAGGGGATGTGGGGTAGGGATGTAATGTTCGAGAAGCACTCACCGATGCAGTTCTGGGGGCCGGCGCTGAAGGGGATGTAGGCGTAGGGGTGCAATGTTCAGAGGAGCACTCACCGATGCAGTTCCGGGGGCCGGCGCTGAAAGGGGGAATGTAGGCGTAGGTGTTGCGGCGCGCGATCTCCTCCGGGCTGAAGCGCTCTGGGATGAACCTTTCGGACTCCGGAAAGACCTCCGGGTCGCGATGCACGGTGTATGGTGATAAAGAGATCGAACAACTTTCTGGTATTATATGATCTGCAACATGATACAGATATATTACTATTATCACCTATTCTTCATTGAAGCCTGACATGAATGCACGACCTAAAAAATGGTGCAGTGAAGGACGTAAATGGTTCTTTGGTTTACTGGAGCGCGAAACCAATGCATTCTTTGCCACAATGTTATTTTTGGACGACATGAAGTGAAAAATTTAGAGCTGATGTATTTAGGCATTGTTTTTATAATTTGTCTCGAGTTGAAAAAGTCGTTGTGTGTTCCCTTAACAGAATTTGCTCGTACATTTAGTATTAATGAATAGATTATTACCTAAAGGAAACATTTCTAATTCTAAAAATATACTATTGTCTAGATTCTGATTACAAAACGTCAGGTAGTCCTTCTAAATGTATACCCGATCACGGTACGCAGGAATGTCGCATATTACCCTCAACATTGAGATAAATGGAGATATGCTTCTCACGCCTCAGAAAACCAATTACAAAGGAAGCAGTTTATCACTATTTGCCAGGAGTCAAAATGGTTTGCATGGAATTCATTGAGAAGCAACCCACTGACAAGGACCAGCGCAGATCAACACTGGAAGCAATGGTCAGAATGTTCTATCGATAAGTGAGATCGTTTTAGTCACCTCATCCAGTAAATGGACAAAACGTATCCTAACGCGTGTTCACGCACTCTTCATTTACAGTTTGATGGTGAGATCCGGCGGCGACGTACCGTCGGCTAGCTGGGGTCTCCCCATCCAGGTATCTTCCACCAGATGGGCACAACCCCAGTCGGTACAAGCTCTAAGCTCTCGACCGGTTTCCCGGCATGAGTGGTAGTTTAGTGCGTGTTAGTGTAAGTGTGTGACGGTAGGACAAGGAAGAGGAAGGTGAGATCGCGCACGGTTCGTGGCCCGTTTGTTAGGGTACTACTCCGGCATTCACCTGTTGATCGGAAAAACCTCGGAAAACTTTCTCTTGTGTTTGAGTTGTACCTTACCAGAAATAAGTCTCGTATCCTCTGGATTGTAGCGGTTGATGTGAGGAACTGGTGGGTAAAGACGCAGTGATTCTTTAACCTCCATCTCTAAGTATTTTAATTCTGATATTTGATGGAGAGATGGCTGCAGCGATTGAAGAGGATCGAACACAGATTCCAGTTCGCCAAACACTTTTCCTGTGGAATAAAAAAGGTGGAAAACACTATTAGAATGCATGTTACTTTTACTGTTTTGTATACATTGAATGTATGTTAAGCTGAAAAAAAAGATGAGATATTAACGTACGGGTTGTTCGTTATGAGTAATCCCAAATACCGACAAAGTATTTTAAAAACTCCGTCAGTCAGTACATTCGTCTCTGATCAACATTAGCGCCGTAAACTGCATTTTTCCTAAAATATATATATCCCCCAGTGGATGCCAAGGTTTCTTGAATTATAAACTGCTCTCTTCTTTTGACGGAGTTCTTGGCATGAAAATCGTAGGACTGTTTCAATATTTTCTCAAACGCTACGTTTTCCTTTTCTTCATCTTGGAAAAGTAAAGGTAGGCCTATCAAATAGAATAGGACTTTCAAGAACTGTTGTCAAGAACTGATTCAAATGTTCGAATCAGAGGTCCGCTGTTGGATTATTATTTAAAGTTTTGAACTCTTCAAAAATAGAAGTAAAATTGTTTGAATTACGAGTTAAATCAAGGAGTTTTGAGAAATATATTACACTATTGTCACGTAGGTCAATTGGTCATTGTTTTTGGGCTTTGGTGCAACTACAATCGGGCCACTGCCTCTGTCGCCGCTTCGCCTAATATATCATTTTTTTTATTTACAGCCAAATCTTGGATCGTACATCTTTGGTGACCATTGCATGTACGTGAAAAATTGAGTACGCTCAACACTGTACATGAATACACTTAATTCAATGACGAAAAACTGTTTTATATTGAACGTTTGTATTTTCAAAAACAAACTACTCGTGTATGTATGTTTTAGAAACACTCCTGCTTAAAACATAACATTCCACGTAAAAAACTATATAACTATTAGTATAATAATACAAGAAAGTAGTTGCAGTTGTAACCTCACTAGTTTGTTTGGGAATACTCAGTGGGAAAGATCAGTTGTCATAAAAAAAACGCTCATTTAGAGTAGCTCCAACGCTTTGTTACAGAGAATATGTCAACAATACCGCATGATTTGTTTCAAAGAATTACCATATATTATAGAAATGCCAAGAATGCATTGGAGCCGATAGGCTCTCACTATTCTCTTCTTCAGGTTAAATGAAGCACATTACTGATATCTCTTTTGCATCTCGGTCCGCGAGAGATGGCTCAAGGCCACAGTCCCTCTACCCGGGAGGTCCTAGGTTCGATCCCGACAGTAGCATGATTTTCGACACTAGCTTGTCTACTGGGTCGAGTTCAGACGCTGTCTGGAGGAGAATTGTAATGGCCGGGTGCTCTGACCAGTAGTTTTCCGTGGTCATCGATTAACAACAGACAAATGCCGGTGCAGTACCATATTAAACGAGCCAGGGACCTCTTTCTAGTCGTATCCTTCCCTCTAACACTATATTACCACACCTGCCGGGAGATCGGGCGTGTGTATGGATTCCGTGGCTGGAGCGGGGCCCCTTTGGTGGGAGAAACTGGTTGGAGATAACTCAGCTAGCAGACACTAAGCCGGCGCGGAATCTCGCCATACAGCGAGGTAAGACCACCGCCACCACCACAACAGAGCAAAAACTCGCACTACACTTACGGGACTAATACCCTTATTCGTTGACGCGGCCGGAATCTTTAACAAACAATTTTCCATCTCGGTTTTTTAACGACCGTTAAATTATGTACCGTGCCTTCAAAATAAATAATCAAGCTACGTTGACAATAAGCACGTTCGACCCAACAGCTTAAGAACTATTTTTAGAATAATTCGTAGGCCAAAAAGTATGTAATCCTACCTGTACGTCTATATGGCGAGACAAGAGTAAAATGGTGAATGAAATTGCGACGACTGTCGTGTCGTGACCCTCAAACATGAAGGTATCTACTTCCTCGCGAATATCTGCATCCGTCAGGCTGCCGTCTCTAGCACTCAAAAGCAGCAAGTCCAAAAACGCCAGGCGACGACGTCGACCTAATCATGCACACAAATGACTTTGCGTAATTTTCAGCGGATTACAAACTGCTCTCTGCAAGAGACAAAGCTATGAGTATGCTAGGTTACTCAATGAAGGAAATCATTAATAACTACTCATAATGTAAACAAAAATATATTAGAATAGAAATAAATTGATGTATCGTGTTAAAAAGAGTGGAGATACTGAATTTCTTCAATTAACGACATCGGTGGAGGAATGTTTTCCACGAATTTTTTTTCTCTCAAGAACGTCTGAAAAATTCTCTGCCTTTTTTTCATTTCCTGCTACATTTAGAGCGTTTAAGGGTGTGAGGGAGGAAAGAAATTCTCCTTACAACTAATGCCATGTAAACAAAATAAAACAAAAAATAAGCAATTTCCTTTCAAACAGAAAAATAACTACCGTCCAAAATCCTGTGAAAATCCATTTTGTAGAAGTAATTGCAAAGAAGTCTCGAATATCTTGTAATAGCTCTTACAGGATGCGTTCCGATTTCAGTTAGAAACAGACGGTATGCACAATAACATATTTATTCATCTGGATATGTGATTGACACAACACACAACTGCAGTTTCAGATGGTTCACTTATATTTGAACGCTTCAACAGGCGCGGTTAAAACTAAGCTTACTCATTTCAAATAAAACAAATTAACACTTCATATTCGTGTAATTACATTATGTTCAGTGTCAACATAAAAAAAAAATATTTTACGCAAGGGAAATTTTACAGCTTTACGAAATCAGAGGCAGCACGCGCGCCTCATGCAGTCACATGCTGTCTTCTACTTAGTCTGATTTGATTCTCAGCGACGTGGGCGTCCCGAGCAACTTCGCGCACAAGGCGCATAGACAGGGTGATAATCGTCGACAGTGATGAGCATTTTTAAATTTTCCAGAAGCTTTCTGGCTTTTGAACTGTCGTAGAGACTGTTGATTCAGAGTGGCGTGATCGGCCATGTAAGAATTCCTGCGAAGCGCCGTGGGGCGATCGCGCACAGGCGCGCAGCCGGGGGCAGAAGAGATACGGGCGACGGTCGCCCACACGTTTTCACCGGCGCGGCGCGAAGTATTTGATATATAATGTGTGCACAATTCTCTGCTTTGCTATGGGAGCCCGAATTATTATTATTATTATTATTATTATTATTATTATTATTATTATTATTATTATTATTATTATTTAACAAAATTACGTTTGAATGTTGTGGTGCGCCGGTCCGACAGAAGTGCTGTAGCGATCTCGGACCGAAGGATTGCGGGTTCGCGTCCCGCATCGGGCATGGTTGTATTGTGTTCGTCCTTTCACAACCCTATAATCATCATATCTTATCCTCATAGTTACCATACCGTTACATACAATAAAGGTTGCTAATGACCTAGTAGCTGATTCGACCATAAATAACACAAAAAAAATTTACTGTACTGTAATCTGTATATGTTCCACGAGCATAAAAGATTCCTGGATATTTATTCCAAAGTCAGTGTTCCCTATTAGAAAATTTAAAGTGCAAATGGGGATACATCACAGATAAAAAGAATAGATACATGAAAATTCAATATAATACAATACATATCGAAATAGCATGGTAACGTTATCCTTTTAGAACCTTCACTTTGAAATACGTTCTTTAATTCTGTGACACAATTCCTGCCAACGTGTGAAATACATGCCGAATTGCAATCTAGCAACTCTGCTTACATACCCCACTACGTTCTTCTTGGGAATAGCATCTGCATTGCTGTTATGTGTATATTTATGAACGATCTTGTATGAAACTTTAACATTTGCCTTTTCGAGGAAGCGCCCTACCCACAGAGATGGAAAACCGAAACAACGGATACTTTTATAGTAATAAACGAAACGAGTGTATAAAGAGAGGAATAATATAAAGAGGGGAATGACAATAGAAGCTAGTTTTCTTATACACCATGAATCATTCTTTCAATTTTTGTTCGTTTACATTTAAGAATAATAATTTACTTTTGAGAATCTCAAGCACATTTTGACCAGTCGAGGTATAGGACATTAGATGACGTTTTGCTTCAGAAAATATATATTTTAGTGGGACTTGTATTTTGTTTGCAAGCAAGAAATATTTGCATATTGAAGGTAATGAACATATTTCGGATACAATATTAGAAGAAGCTGACTGTCTTGGGAACATTACTTCCTACGAAACGTAAAGTCTGATGTGAGAGATATTACAACATATATAAATATTGGTAAGAACAAATCAACTAGTCACTTGTGACAGTTTTGCTGTAGCGCACTTTTTAGAACTGGTAAACAGAACTGACGTTCACATTTTTACATTCCTACATAACTAATTTACATTTATAATCCTAAGACCGAATGTTTTACTTGAATATTTAATTCATTCACGTTAAATATTGTATATTGTTCTATTAGTAAGCTAGCTTACTTCGCCAATTTAGTTTTATTCATTCGTTATTTATATGTAGCTGCTGTAGATACGTAATCTGTGAGGGACATTTCTGTTAATTTTTCATGGCCGTCTGGAAATAACTTGCTACGTATGTATTGTAGTGTCTTAATTAAACGGTTTTGCTCCATTCTGAATTTATATTGATAGACGTGAATTTTTAATTGCACGGATGAATATTAATCGCACGCGTGCTGTTAACATAGAAATAATCGATGATTTTGCATGTAACTAATAATATATGTATATATGTATATATAAGGCCTTCGGCCTAGCCACATAGGATCAAGTAATCTAATTCGTTTGTAATAATTACCTATTAATAATATATATATATATATATATATATATATATAGTTAACTAAAAGAAAAAAATATTTTAGTTATATAAATAGAATGTAATTATCCTATCCTATTATAATGTTCCATAAAATTAGACACTTTTGATTTGGTACTGTCAATAATGAGACGCCAGGAAATTAAATCCTTAAAAATAATTAAATAAATACGTTCTTCCTGAACAAAGAATTTATATCATTTATTGTTTTAAAATATACGCAAAAATGTATTAAGTTGAGAGACGATGTGAAATATGATTTAATTTCCGTATTATCATGTTCATTTATTCTACAAAATAAAAATCTTGGGTCATTCGATTAATTATATTTTTAAATCATTTATTAGAAACTTATATATAATCATTGAAGACCATTTAACAAGAATTCCGTTTATACTGTTCTATAGCTACTCGTAAGTTTATACTTATTTAATTAAAATATATTAAAAAATAAAGTACCGAGCGCGATAAATGCAGATCGTAAGAAAATGTGCTTCTCACCGATTTCCTCCTCATCCAATATATTGTTTTCACCATTAATTAGCTCTAACTCCGACCTTCTCTCTCGAATTACCTGTGAAAATAGAAAAATATAACCGGCTATTTTGTATTACCGAATGTTTTTAATTGGAAACCAGAACCTAAAATATTCACATTAAAAATATACCTTGTCCGTTGTTTCATGAATTACTTTCAAGCATTTCTTATATTCTCTTCCTGTAGGAGAAATCATGAAAATGGAATCGAAGAAGTACCATGGTTTAAATATTCTGGCTACAGTTACGTTCGAAACCCTGAAAAAATAGTTGTAAACAACAACAACAACAATCCTCAAAATTTGTTCTGATCGTCATTTGGTTTTGAGGCTTATTGATATCGGTAACGTCTTTTCCTTATTATTATTATTATTATTATTATTATTATTATTCTATTTATGCAAATTTTAGTGAGTGATTGTTCAATTTGTTAATATTAAAAAACTTCTTCTTCACTGCTTTCACGTAATTGGAGTAGCTGTCGGTCTGGGCATTCACTGCAACACCCATAGCAGTTTCTGAAAAATAGTAACGGTTGTAGGTGACCGTAGTCACTTTGGGCGATCTATAAATTAAATAATATGCTGCAATGATTGCTGATTTTTTCAAAGACCATATCGAATCGTGTAAAGCAAAATCAAATAAAATGCAAGAGCAAATAATATGCAAAACCATCATCAACCACATTTCCTTTTCCGTGGGAGAGAAGTGTCGGCGGGGAATTAGATACTCACGCCTGTATTTTCATATCATCGATATTGCTCACATCTTTAGCAAAGTGATTGCAAAGAGAAAACTTGTGCGTATCCGGATTCAGGGATGTAACAAGTCAGCCCTGGTTGCGTTCCGGTAATGCTCAATGCTTATAAGAACTGAGCAAACATTTGTCCGTACCGTAAAGTAATCTCTGCAGTGTTATCCAAGTGAAAATAATTTACAATCTACCGCAAATGACATCCAGGGTGAGAAGCTCTACAAGCGGAAACACGTTGAAGACATTTCCGTCCGCACGTCTTCTAAGCTGCCTAACGAATTCTTCCCCGCAGCTGTTGAACACCGGAACGAACTGTTCCAGGATCTTTAAGTGGAAGGCTGGAGTTAGGAGTTTCCGTCGTTGTTGCCACTTCTCTCCTTGAAAAGAAATGAGTTCAGAGCATGAACATTTTCAGAATGTTTGGAGTCGTTTTCGAGAAACTATATTTCGCCAAATTATATAAAAAAACAATCAAATTTTCGAAAAGATTAAAACTGTTGATCTTTTGCAATTTTTCAAGTCTCGAAATTCAACGAAAATATCTACATCAGTCTCCTAAATGTCTTTTACTCTCCTTGGAAAAGTTTAGGAAATAAAAATGAAGCCGTTTTTGAGAAAATTGGCAAAAACCGTGTTGTAACTACCTAATAGTTCTCAGTAGGTAGTTAGTCGGATATCAAAACAGGCTCGAACGGGAATTTTGTTTTATGTATTAGAATAAATTTTGTTAAACACACTTCCTTATTCAAAAATAGTTGGTATTTTAAAATTATAATATAAGGAAAAAGTAAAAAACAATACATTTCAAGAATGTCTGGTCTCTCCTGACAATATATGCACAAAGTCAGTGAAAAACAAGCCCTGAAAGGCAAAATTGTCTAACATAAAGAAAGAAACAGCTTATGTGACAGAAGTCCGTCTACTAGAGTTTGCTGAGGATTGATTGATTAATAAAATCTCAGATGTTTAATTCTCTCAAGGCCTTTTCCCTTGCCATGCCAAACGATATCTCTTCCGTTACTTTGAGGCGATGGAGACTTCCGCTGGTCTGGATGCCATGGGTTTGACGGTTAAAAAATAAGGGTTGTATTGACTTGAAAATCTTCGGCTTTGTCTCATAGAGTAATGTAATATAATTAATATTTTACAAAGAAATAATAATTGTTTATATCACAATAACTTTAAAATATATGACCAAATATATTTAAATTATTCGTATTTACCTCCGGACGAGAGAAGCCCTGTTCCAAGCCAGGGGCGAAGCAGTTTGTACATAAAATTCTTTTCTATGTATTTTGGTCTAGAGAGTAGTGTCTGCAACAGAGCATAAAATTAGTTACAAATTATTATATTTTATTTTACTCTATGTCACATTTAATTGTTTACATGATTTTAATTCAGGGATTATGATATAATATGGTACACTTATTTTCCAGACCGTTTTTATTGTTCGCTAAGTACATGACTGATACATCGAAACGAGTCTAGAGAATTGCGCATGGGAGTTAATTGTTCTTTTGCACTCGAATATCCTCACGTCAGTATGAAATTGAGAATAATGAAATGCTACCTAGTATGAAATAATAACTTACACGTCATTTTAGAAAATTAATTATGACAGTATACGTTTAGAAGTTTCTGGCACAGCGCAACTTCCTCTCGTTTGGAAGCATCACATGCGTATTATCAGGAATGATGTTTCGTACAGCTATTCTGTTACATCGACTTCCCACAAGCAAACAGAGGAAGCAATCTGGGAACCGTTATGGATTGTACATTCCGATTTTACATTCACATTTTACATTTTTTAGTCATCTTTCATTTTTTCTCATAATTTGAGCATCACTTGACTTTTAGCACTAGTGTTAAAAATTTAACTTTAGCACACAGTTATGCCTGCTCTAAAAGAAACGAACTAGGCGCTGTCTAAAAAGGATATTTCTCTTTTATTTGTGATATTTTTCTTCTAAAAGGGAGGTATAACAAATGTACTGTTAATTATTTTATCAGTCTGTAACAAAAATGAATTTTCCCAAATAAAATCAAATCTAACAATCAAACCTGAAATTTTGATTAAAATAAAACTTAAGATCCCATTTGAATTTTTGACGAATATTTAAATAAATGTATTCACAGTGGTCTTTAACGCCTTGGAAAATCTTTTCCACTTCATTATGAACGGAAATCTCTCATTTTCCTACAGATATGCACATAACATAGATATGTGTAAATTTGTGTTTGTTTGAATTAAAGAAATTTTTGAAAGCTGCAAAGTAATGAAAATATATTCTTTCGCTTCTGTTTTATTTTTATTAATATGGAAGAGAGATATAATATCAGATTTTTATGTGAATTACATGTTAATTTTTAAATGACGTTATCTCTGAATAGTGAAATAATCAGCCATGTAAACTCTGAAATTTTACCATAAACTCAAAGAGGTGGGCACTCTAATAATTATGACGAAACGATCGCGAATTTTCGAAAACGTGAAGACGTTACTTGCTCTTTTTCGTGGAAATGATGCGATCGTGACCTTCTGGAGTGCAAAACAGTGTTCAATAGTTCAGAAACTTTTGCTGTTTTATGGCTTAACGCTGCTCTTAATATAGTTAAGTTCGGTACTTAATCAGTTCACGAAAACGCGATCTATTCAGTACAAAGTTGCCTTAATGTAATTCTTCTAATGTTTCACACGGATTCTATTTTTGACTTGAATATTTATAATAATACAGGTGTGCATATTTATTAGGAATCGATGATTGAAAGAGAATTTTGTTCATCTAATAAGTGAGTACAAAGGAGTATAAAAGAAAATGTACCAAATACTAATTCTACATGTACAACTAATAATGTCCTTCTTATCAGCATTTATTCTAACACATTAGATGCAACCTACCTCGAGATCTTTAATTTCCATTGTGTAAACAAATGCTAGTGGCCCAAGGTAGAATCGCGATGTTTTGCCATAGACTTTGCTAATATGAAGAAAATAAACGTAGATATCTGAAAAAAGTACAAGAATATTCTTGCACTAATCACTATATTATTAAAAATGTTTTAAAATAAACTTAAAATACTTAAAGTTACAAAATGTTTTTGTGTTTATTTGAACAATTTTTAATCCATTAACACCACTATTTAACGAAATAATTCATCACTCGGTTGCAATATTAGAGAGGACATTTATCAGAGAAAAAATATTTTTATATGTAGTCTTAGTTTTGGAAGAACAGTTGAAATATTATTTAATGACTAAAAGTAAAATACTGCTGTAGAATTGATTTCAATTTTAAGAGAGAATGAATAAAATAGCGAAATCATCATCCAGTCTTTGCGAAATGTTAGACTTGCTTATGTTATAATTGCTTATCAGTTGGGGGCGGATTTTCATGACCTGCAACATTGCCAAAAACGATCTATAAAATGCTCTTAAAATGCTTTAAATGCCCTAAAAACAAAGAAATTTACGTAAAAATGATCAAAATCACTTCAGATGAACAACTCAAGCATTTGGGGATGTTACTTATGTTACTCAGACTTCTTTCTTTTGTTCAGGTAAACTCAGTCTGTAAACTTTTCGTTGGACTTAAAAAAAATATCTGCCTTTATTTATTCCAAAGTCTCTGTGGCACCGATAGGCGTCATAGGAACCGTAGATCACATAGTACTCACAACTGCTGACATTACAATATGAGCAAAGAAATCGAATAGGCTATTCAGGAATAATCTGTGGTGAACATTTGTTGCATCTCGTAAATATTGTTTGAAGTAAGTACCATTCAAATTATATTAAAATAAATTAAATCGGCGAAAAATGTATTAAAAAGGTTGAGGTAAATTAAAAAATGTCTTATTAGTCGAAATGGACGAAAACTACAAAAAAAGTGACATGTAAAAACGGGTAATTTCATTTTGCCGTAACATAAAATTAATTTCTTTACTAATCGGAATTGTTCTGAACTGAAAAGAAAAAAGATAACATTTCATTAAAATTCGCCCCCCAACTAATCAGCATAAAGAAAGCATACCTGAATGTTCACAGAGGGCACTAGTTTTTGTATACTAGCATTAAAACTTAATATGCAATAAAAAGAGTGTATACATTACACCCTTATTTTGCAATTTGTATTTTTTATATAGTTTTATCAAGAATTGAAGATAGTATACGTACAAAACATATGCATAATATATTATTTATGAAAATAAGGAAAATAAGCAACAATATTAGTGTCATGGAACATTTATACTAAGTGTAGCAAAACGTGGTTAAACTGGCGTAAAAGCATGTTAGGGAGAATATAGTGTACATTTTGTTTATATTTTTTATATCCTTATGATTGGCTTAGGAGCCAAATGGTTACCTCTTGATAGGAATACATTTTTTAATTAAATTTCCAATTCCAAGTGAACGATCGAACTTCTCGGTTACTTAATCTGTGTTATAATTATTCCTTTACATCTATTATGCATTTACCTAAAACCCAAACTCTCTTTCACAAATTTTAAAACAATAATATTTTCGGCATGAGCGGCGTTGCCACTGGAAAATTTATATTGGGTCGTGGAACTGAAGTTACCTCCAGTACAGAATAGGGAAAAATTATACTTCACATTATCTTATTGGTAATGGGAAAGGAAATTAGCTTTCTTAATTTACAATCAAAAGAGAATGTTGACATTTTTTCGACTTTATATTCAATACCGTGTTTGGTAGCACACTTGTTTTTTCTGCGGCGTTAATCTTTGCCGTCACTACTTTCCACTATGACGCTACTGATCAAATCATTACGCAAAAAACTTCTATACATTAACAAAAGACATACAAGAACAAAGTTAACATTTATGCATAACAACAAAATATTTACTCTATTCTCATTCATACCATGAACATTATAATTTTGATGGCCATGTGCATTGTCTAAGCTTTATTAAATCTACTACTATTCCTATCCTTCTCATAATTTGTTTCCGTACGTCTAGGTAATATTTGCAGGATGTTTACTTCCTTACACTGTAATATTGTTGACTTCGGCTAACAAATCCGGTCCATCCGCCATTTCACCGTAAAGTTTCATTAGTTGGGCTCACTGTTCCAGAATTCCACACACCCTATGCATTTGTACGCAACCTACTAAATGCCATATTTCTGGCTAACAATGCACCTTCTATCCGATACCAACTCACTCTCCCCCCCAACAAAAAAACAATAACTTACCAGCACATGCTATCACATGTCGTCGGCTCGAAATCTGTCACCCATCTGTGTCCTTTTCAGACAGTCGAGTCTTTCGATTTTTTAAACTATAAAAGCAAAATGCTTGCTTTCCTGGCATCGAGATCTTTTTGGAATATTTTATATTTTCTTTACCTCTATTCTGATTTGCCACTTTTCAGAAGTTCTGAAAATTTTGCCTTTTAATTTGTCGCGCTCCCCAAAGTTTATTGCCCTCTTGTTCACCTGCTTTGCCGAAATTCCAACTTATTTTCAAAGCTACTTACATCAGTCACCTACATTCAATTGTCTTTCCGTGTAAGTATCTTTCTACCTTTTTAAGTTCTTCTTCTAAATTTTTCCCCCATTTTTGAATTGCTTCCGGATGATTCTTAAAATGTTTTTTTTCTAACACTTATTTTCTAGTTCGAAAGCTCCCCTGTTATTCAACGAGAATATAAAATTCGGTTTCATGTTGTCACTTCTTTCTTTTTCTACCGACTTATTTACTAAATCATTATTTTCCAAACCAATAATATTTACTATTGGTAGTGTATTGGACTGAAGTCTGCGTACGGTTACAATAGTTGGTCTAAAAATAAAAAAAAGAGTGAAAGGGCAGTGGCTTGCGGGTGCATGCGGGCAGTTTGGTCCGAAAGTTGCACTTGAGGAGCTCTAACTTAGTGAACGTGCTTACTACGTGCAGAAAGGGTTTTAGGCCTCATTGCGTTGCCGACGAGCGTGTACGCCCGGGCTCCATCTATCTTCTCGACGAGACGCACCTGATGGATTCTCAAACGAAGAAGTTTCCACAGAACAGACAATGGAGTTACTGCAGCAACTAGAAGCCACTTCAACCACATGAAAACCCTGCAAATACAGTGTGCAATTTCCATTACATTTGCTATGATTTACAATTTGTTGTATCACTTGAGCACCAATATTTTGTATTGTGGAGTCCGCCAACAAATTTTCTTGCATTATTTCAAACTTCTGTAATTGTCAAAAGTTCAACGAACATAAAACCTTTGTTATTATTTTAAGCTTTACTTGTTCTATTCGTGCAAAAAATGAGAGGTTATTAAGAAAACTGCGAGTATTTTTATATTTTCAGGCAGAAATTACCCGAAAACAACACATTTCTTCAAAACATAGTCAATGAAGGTCTGATTTGATAGAAGAGATTTTGTTTAAGGCAGAATTATCTACCTTAAGAATTGTACTTTTCAAAGTTAACATTAGGCCATGTTCAAAATTACAGAGTTTGCCGGATATTTGACTTGTGCCAATTCTTTTTAAAGTTCTTCGATAAATGAAATGATCAATTTGAGTCATCTTTGAGAAAATAATTGATAAAAATCTCCTAAATTAAATACAAAAATACGCGAAATCTCTTATTTCCAAGGAAGTTTCGTTATTTTCTTTCAAGAGTTGTCTTTCAACAGCAGGTTAAGGGAAAACACTCCAACTTGAATGTTGTAGTTGTTAGAAGACGCCGAAACAAAATTAAACTTTCAAAATTTTCAACAAATCAGGAATCTCAACGAACGTGCACTATTCTTTTCATTGTCTTTTACACAAGCAGAGAATACAATTTCATCAAAAAATTTGAAGCCATTTTCGAGAAAGTTTTGAACATATAATTAAGGCATAATGTAAAATGCTTTTAAAAATTAAAATATTCGTTTCTATCTGGCAGGCACTCGAGATCCTTTTAACCGATTGGAATATATATTTTTTTGTGGATTGGGACCTATTGGGATATAAATTTTAGACACATTTGGCTGAACGTACCCTCTGTGACATTTTCAAAATATTCACCCAAAACACGGGAGAGATCGCTCAGGGCAACTGTGGTTACTGCAGTCAGTCGGGCCGGGAGGTCCTAGGTTCAAGTCCCGATGGTGGCAGGATTTTCGGCACTGGCTTGTTAGCTAGGTCAAATTCAGACGCTGTCCTTAGGAAAATTCTAACGGCCGGTTGCTCTGATAAGTAGTTTTCCTTTGTTTCTTCGATCAATACCAGGCGAATGCCGGAGAAATTTCCTAACAAACGGGCAACGGACCACGCGCGATCTCACCTTTCTCTTATTTGTCCTATCCTCATTCCATACACACACACTAATATGCACTACGCTTCCACCCATGCCGGGAGACCGGTCGGGAGCTCAGAGCTAGTCCCGGCTGGGGCGATGCCCCGCTGGTGGGAGATACCTGGTTGGTGGAAAAACCCTGCTAGCCGACGGTAGGTTTGATCCCCCCGCCATACAGCGGGGAAAGATCAGCGCTACCTCCGGAGCGCACATGCAGGACTAATGATCCTGATTGATGACGTGCCCGAAATCACTAAACAATCAATCATTCAATCAAACTTGTTCATTTTTTATTCAATTTTGTTTTTGGAAAGTGAGAAGGAAGTTTAAGAGAATGCTGCAGGTCTTATTTTCGTTGAAATGAACTTTTCTTGGCGTGTTTCTACAATTAAAATATTGAAAACAGAGAATTTTGCGTGAAGTATAGGCAATGTTTGGTATATTTAAACATTTTTTCTAAAAAAACTACACCAAATTATTTTACTAAATTTTGACCACGTAAATCTTGATAGCGTAAAAAACATTTAAGAGAATGGTACAGGTCTCACTTTTGTAAAAATCTCTCGTTTATTGAAAATTTGCAAAATTTCAAAACAACTTCGGTGTCTTTCTTGAACTATAGTTTTGAAGATGCCGCATGTATTCTTGTATTAACAGAAGATTAATTGACACGCGCGCTTTAAGGCGTTAATACTATTAAACAACTAATGAGATTTCAAAATTCAAATTCACGATTTCCACCCCACATTTATTTACGACGTCTTTTTCATTCCTGAGCAGTAATACTTCCCTAAGAGTAACAAAACTCTTCGAAGAAATTAATATGTGGAATTTTAAAACTCCAGTTAACCGGACAAGCCCGTATTTCATTTTGCTTTAAGATTTTAAGTCCCTACACTACCTCTTTCATTGTTTTCACATACACTTATAAATTATAATAAGAAGGTTAGTGACAATAAGATATGTCCAACACTCACTTACTTTGCTGAAGAGAGAGACATGTTGCCTTACGTGAGAAGGTGATGGGTCCTAATGTGCGGTTCCAAACTCATAACTTTGCAAACTGAAAATTATCTTTAGTGTGACCCCGACCATGTGCTTTCCATTGAACCTTTTATCATAGTAGACTTTGGCTTATTAAAGACGTACCAACACTTTGCAGTTAATTTGGATGGCTTAAAATGTTTTATTTTTAATTAAGATATAATGTTAAGCAGCTACTTGGTTAAGCTATATGATTTTTTTATTACTCGTTATGAATAGCATTAATTATTCCAATATTTTCACAGACATTTTACAAACATTACGGTGATTTAATTACGAATATAACTGATCATACATTCTAGGGGGAAATCTCTCAAAAACAGCACTTCTTGCGGAATTTTGAAGTTCTCCAACTATAACGCGCTTTGTTCTTCTTGATCTTTCCTTGTACTGTCGTTGTTTACAATAATTATAATGCAAACGAACCATAATTAGACTCTCAATATTACACTATTACACTACCATCCATTTCGTAATTTTTACTTTCTCGTACACGTACTACTACTAAATTGGAAGTACTATACGTAGTAAAGAGAAAGTTATATAGTGCTTGGAAAAAACGATATACCCTCATCTATTAAGAACGAAATAACGGTTCTGTTCGCCGATGACACGAATGTTCTTTGCACAAAGGAAACAATAAATAGTACGATTTTAGAATTTTCAAATTGGTTTTGTAATAACAAATTAATATTTAACGAAGGAAAAATAATTTCAATGCATTTTTGTATTTCAAATCAGCAATCGCATGCTCCATTTAAAATGAACAATATGTAATTAGCTGATGTACAGGTAACAACATTTCTAGCTCTCTCGATTCAATCAAATCTCAAATGGAATGTACATCTAATTAAATAAAACACAAAATAAGTTCATTATGTTACGCATTCATAATTGTTTCAAACTCTGCCAGCCTTCATGCAGCTTGTTGCGTTATTTATATATATATGTATATATATATATATGTATATATATATGTATATATATGTATATATATATATATATATATATATATATATATATATATATATATATATATGTATATATATAGTGTGTGTGTGTAGGTTAATGTAATAGAAGCATATAATATAGGTTAATATACTATTTATTAATCAATGATATTAATTATTTTAAGTTCAATATATAATATTTATTTTGTACTGATATGTTTTGATTGTTATTGACGTCCATACAGATTTTGATATACACTGAATAAATTACCTCGATCGAGAGGATAAGAGTTACGAGGAAACTGTCAGGACTGTTGAATTATGCTACATGTTCTCTTATGGAGGGAATTACGAAACGTTGAGGGAGGAACCTATGAAATAACAAACTCAAGTTAACATCTTAGCGGCGGCGATGGTGTAACGGTTAGCGTTCTGAACTGTTGTACCCAAGTTGGCGGGTTCAAACCCGATCGAAGCCGTGGATTTTTAAGGGCGAAAAAATCCTTCGTACGCCTTCCTTCGGAGGGGAAGTAAAGCCGGCTGTCCCATGTTAGTAGATTTACTTGCATGTAAAAGATCCTCAAGCCTAAATGACGCCTCTGAGCCAAATTCAAATCGCCTGTTTATCGCCCAAGAAATACCTCCTTTCTCTCCTAGTTGGTGAAAGGAGCGTAGCGAAATTTGCTTGGTCAGACGGAAGAGCGGGCCTAATGGCCCGAGTCTCGCCACGTAAAATAAGGCAAATTCAATTCAATTCAACATCTAGTTAATTAGTTAAAAAGTTAATCTGGATCGATAAAATGAGATAAAAAATGAAAACCTGTATGTGCTATGAGCGTTTAACTGGTTCTAATGATAAGAGCAGCGACAAAAGATCGGCGTCTTTTGGCGCAAGGGCTCTTTTTCGCCACTCGATCATTACAATCCTTAAATCGCCATTGATACATAAATAATTATTACTAGAGAGGATGAAGGTATTTGTGTAAATAAATATAGTAATTAAATATATTATTTATTAATTCATTTTATTTAGTTATTTTTTCGTAATTTCATCTTCCCTGAATTCCCTACTTCAGGTTTAAATTGAAGGACTCGGAGAGAAATAAGTTACAGACCAGTTTCTGATTCAGCTTGTCCAAATTATTCGAACACACTTACTCGAACATTATCTTATAATATAGCTTGTACATGAAATTTTACAACACTGAATGGGAAGCGTATTTCTCATTGAGAATCGCGGTATAATCAATTTGAAAACTTAAAATTGTGACTTAGAACTACATTTGACTGATCTATTCAATTATTTCACAAACCTCAATAAAATAGAAATTATTACATAGTATCAGAAAATTAATTAATTTTGCCGAAATGAAGCACTAAATTTAAAAGTATTTTTTTTAATTATTATGAATGTTTACAATATCAACCTCAATTTCCGTTCTAAGATAACTTGAGGCATTTATTTTAATAACCGAAAATCCAAAAACATGCTTATTGGTAAGTATTTTTTAATCAGACTAGGTTTTGGATTTTTAGGTACATACAAGTGGGAAATGTATTTTTGCCTTCAATGTAGCATATCTATTTTATAGAGTGTTGAAAATTAAGTGGAACATCAGATAAAACTCCCAAAATTTCCATATATCAAAATACATATCACCCGAAAATAAATACTTTGAATGAGTTGCATACAAGTAAATATTTTCGTCAAAAATAATATTATTCAACATTTCATTTTCTTCAATTTTATACATGTGTGTATGTGAATAATTTGAGTATTTATA